TTGTTGATATTGTTCACGGTCTGGGCGAAACATATTAGCAGCATATCTCCGACTGACGACGGAACCTTACCTTTTTGCTGGCTACCATAGGAGCAACCTTCTTCGCGGTGAATACTGCATCGTACCAGACGTCAATGCACACATCCACAACTGCATTTTCGTGCATCCCAAGGCGTGAGACAAACCCTTAGCATCACTCGGAAGGAGGTTATCGTGGTCCTCGCTTCCCTCTCCCGCTGCATCTTCATCCGCCATAGAGAATCCCAACACTGCCACGGGCTTCTTGACTGCTGCCTGTGCGGCAGCAGGTAACAAAGTCTGCTTCTGTCCAAAGCCACCTTTGAAGCTCAGAGTTACGGGCTTATCTGAGACAGGAAGCGTTGAGGCCTCGACAGGCTTGTTTGTGATGTCATCGGCTTCGCGATCCCATATGAATAGGATTACCAATGGTGACAATGAAGTGTATCATACCTTTAACCTTCTTCTTCTTCTCCTTCGTAACAGGAGCTGCTTCTGTTGGTTGAGCAGGTTCTTCAACCTTGAACTCCAGAACAGCTACAGTGGAACCTTCGTCCCAATAACGGACCATGGTCCCTTCCGCGCCGCCCAGGCTCGTCGAGGAGGGCAAACAGGCATCGTCCCGAAGAGAATAGTCAGGCAAGGGTTGAAAAGAGTAAGGATGAGCAAACGACGCAGCCACTGGACGTTCCGATATCCGGAAGCCTGATGGATGAAGTTGCGCAGACATGGTAGCGCCGAGCACTGCTGCGGCCGACTGCAAGGCAAGCGTAAATGGTGTTCATAACAACTAAAGGTGTATTGCTCACCTGAACATCGATGAACTCGACAAAGGCAAAGCCCCAACTTGCCATGGTAGTTTTGTCCTTAATGAGGATGATGCGTTTCATCCCCTTGGCCCCTTCCTTACCCACGCCAGACGAGTTCTTCATTGCCTGAGCGATTGCTTGTGGGCCCGACAGAGGATCCAGTCCGCGGAACAGCAGCACGGGAGCTTGGGTGTTACCAATATCCCTCGTACCGTCGTTCAAATTGAGCGGACCTCTCCTTCTGTCGCTCGGATTCGCGCTTTGAGAGTAGTCGATCTTGATGCGTCGCCCGTTGTGCGGTTGGCCGCTTTCCAGTGCCTTGTTGAACGTCGCTTTCGCAGACGCACCGTGCGACGCCGGCGGAGGCATTTGGATGAAGGGGAACCGCGGGTCGACGAACGCGCGGGCTTGGTCGATGGACGCGAATTGAGCGAATCCAAAGCCTTTCGATACACCTTTAATAGAAACACCAGAGAGACACAAAACACGTCAATGCACGGTGCATAGTCATGAGTGAAGGGGCAAGTAAGTGCCTGATGTTCTGTCTCTGATTATTGTCACAGATTCGACGGTACAGCTTTGTCCGGTGAGGTATGCTTGAAACTGTGAGGGACATAGCGTAAGTGCAATATACTTGCTAATAGGTATCATACTACATACGTCCGCTTCGGTGAAGTCAGGGTCCAGGCCAAGAAAGATAACGTGAGGGCTAGGTTCGCTGGGTACCATGCGTTTCTTGTGGTGGCCACCGCCGGCACCATGGTGGCGGTCGTCTGTGTACTCGTGTGAGCCAGACTGGCCAGGATGACTGACGGTGTAGTCTTCATAGCCTCCAGATTCGTACGCTTGAGAATTGCGGTAACCCTGCTCACAGACAGCAATGAACTGTTAGTATAGCTAGCAGAGTCATCCAATGACTTACCCCATTATTGAATTTTCGCCTCTTTCCTTCGCCATAGTATTCCTCGTCCTTTCCTTGTGCGTGTCCCGACGAGTACTCGTTCCACGAAGAATGATCTTGACGTGAGTCGCCTTGCCAAGAGCTATCGTTCCATGAATTGTCGTTCCACGAGTCTTTGCCTCTGTCCCATTCGCGGTTGTACGCCATGGTGATGGTGAGAAGTCAAGGTGAGCGGGCGCCAAACAAGCCCAAACTCCTCTCTTTCCCGACCTCATCATGGCTGGCGGGCACGGCGGTACGTGGAATGGTCAATGCGCTGTACTGAATATTAACTGAGACCTGTAATGTTTAGGACCCGTAAGAGTATGTATTACGTGGTATAGTATATGAACATGGCTAACTCAGTTCTCCTCATGTCTCATAGCTTGACCCCGCCATCGAGCGGTGGAATTCCATGGTGAGTCGTCCTCTACGCCTGTCTTTACCTTAGCAATGATTCTCATGTAGCGACTTTCTTTTCTATATAGCGAGAGAATGTCTACAAGCACTTCCGATTCACTCCGAAGACGACCATACAGTCAATACTGGGACTAGTTGTAATCCCTGGAATCGTGTACTACGTTGCTGCAAGCACAGACGTGCGTCCTCCACTTTTTTCTTGCCGTTCTACGTCGCTAACATGATACTGGTCCGGCAGCTGAAGTATAAGTGGAACGGCCGTAGGAAAGGAGAGTCGTTAATCGCAGAGTGAACTCCCTACACCAGTGCCTAGACGTTTCGACGGCATATTCGCTTCCCACAATAAATGAATATTTAGAATCGCTTGCACAGTTCGATGGCGACTTTACAACCTGCTCCAACTACAGTGCTAAGAAGTGCATGTGCAGGGGCCCGTTGCGAATGATTGAGCACCGCGGTGTCCAGGTGCTCCAACTCATCATCTCGGAACTCTTTGATAACCTCTTTTAGCAAAGGTATGCTTGGGTGGGCGGTTCTCATCTCATCTAGCTCTTTCAGTTGGCTGCACAATGGTCAGGTCGAGATGAAAACGCTGGTACGACAGGGAAACGGCTCTACTCACTCATCGTAGTGTTCGCCTATGACTGTCTCTACAGCCTCGGTGCATGCCATAGCAGCCTCTTTGCCCATAAGAGCGGTCACCGCACCTAGTCCGAACCCAGCTACCTTCGCTACGTCCCAGAGCATTGTCGGTCGTACCCGGTGCTGCAGCTGTAGCTTGTTCATCACACTCAGATGTTTCTTCTCTTGTTCCCACATATCCTGCAGGTGTGAAGCAATCAACGCTTTGCCTTCATAGAATAAGCATATCTATCGATGCGTACTGTAATTAGGGGCCCGGCGGTGCGATGTCGTCTGAGCACGGCCAGTTGGCCCATGTAAATGTAGTTTGCGGCTATTTCACCGGCTTGATCCACACGTAGCGCAGCATCCAGAGCATCTCTCTGATCTGGCGTAATATCCTGCGGTGTACTTGATGTTGACGGGTCTTGGGAATTATTGAGAGTAGTATAGGCTGTTGACGGAGGAATGCGGGCTGCTGTGGCGAACGTCCTCCGAACTGGTCGCAGGACTCGAGTGGATCTTGAAGTAAACATTGTTTGCTAAAGTTTAAAGTGGAAAGGATATTATAAAGTGTATAAAATGAGGCCAAGATCGAGAAGAAACAGCAGGCCCTGCGGGGTAATGGAGATGGAGGCGGAAAGGATTTCTAGTAATGTACCCGGCCAGGGATCGAACTGGGCCGATGACGCGGTCGCGTGCATGTCACGAGGCACGTGCATGATCGCGTCCCTCATCGCAGGGCCTCCCTTTCAGCTCGTGCCCGCCTTGGATACGAACATCCGAAGCAGCCACTTCATTCGTGTCACATACCTACTCTCTATTCGCATCTCCATTTGTACCTTTTCCCGCTCATTACGTTGAATATGGCCGCCAAATCGTAAGTGTGGTCCGAATCAGAACACCAATAGCATAAAGATCTCACGCGTGAATTTGCCACAGCTTCACTCCCGCACAGGTTGTAGACATGAACAAGGAGAAGGAGTGGGCTTCTAGTCTCGGTAAGTTTATATAAGCTTTGGAGAGTGACCGGGAATGTGAGCAATGTCTATCCACCCAACCAGGAATGCTGGACTGGGACAAAACCAGCATCGTGTTCACGAAGCGTACTTTGATTGAATTTCTCAGGCAAGTATACGCGTGAGAAAGAGAACGATGTCTTCTTGAACGATTCTATACAGGTATACTGGAACCACTGTCGACCCGAACTTTACGAACATCTCGAAGCTCCCCAGTAAGCCAATGTTCAGTACTGAATGATGAGCCACACAGCTAAACATGCAACTCAGAATATGCGACCTTCGGCAAGATTGCTGATGCACCAGCCGGTACTTCCACGGAGGCGATTGCAGAAACTTCAGAGGAGCCTGCAGCCGCCCCAGTAGCAGCCGCTTCAACTTCACCTGAACAGCCGGCCAGTAAGTAACGATGCGGCCCCATTGCATATTGGCGTTTGCTTATGGGTATCATAGCTACAGGTGTACGAGGCTTCATCCCCTCACGCCGTGTCCGCACCGCGCCCGGTGGCGAATCGCACATGAATGAGATTTTCGGCGGCTCTATCGACGAAGAGGTGCAACCACCCGCACATGCCACCAGTCGAGTGGCTCCTCCTCAGGCACCAGAACAGACCTTCCCGGACAGAACTCACGGCCGGTAAGTAGGGATTTATTTATGGCCTTGTATCAATACCTGAGTTCCGCGAAAGGAATGAGTCCGTCGTCGAAGAGAAGCGCGGCTTCGTTCCCACCCGTCGGTATGTCCTCCATCTTCTGTATTATTTACTACACCTCTCATCGGTTTATCAGTGTTCGCGAGCAACCAGGAGGTCGCGACAGCATTAGCGATGTAAGTCGTCAGAACCCGGTTTTGAATGCGACGTATAATTGACTATTGGGCAGATTCTCTCTTTTAACTAAGGGGTCTGACTGAAATTGAAATCGTGTGGAATAATAGGTGTACATGAAGGGTACATATGTCGCTAAGTAGTTTTGTTTTGTGTCAACCATTTCTTGGAAAGGGTTGAATACGCTGTCATGAATGAAATTGTTGTTTTCTTCCCAGAACTTACGCCTCTCTCATATATCTCAATAGCAAAGGACTAGATACTATCCCGCGGGGTGAACCGCGCTCTCCCGCGCCGCTCGCAAAAATGAAACAGTTCGAGTTAGCCCGCATGGATAAAATCTCAGTGGTGGCGGCGAGGTTCGAACTCGCGCGGACTTACGCCCATTGGGAATCAAGATAAACTTAAATCCAACGCCTTAGACCAACTCGGCCACGCCACCCTCAGTCAATCGATCGGCCACAACCATCGATATCATTGGGGGCATGAACATTGACCGGGTAGAATGCTTTTGCCGCAGCGGACCGTAACCCGAGCGGTCACGTCACGGGCGCGTTCAAATTGAACATGGGCCAAACAACGCGTCAACAAGGACCGTGTCTTAATGAACGCGACGAGCCACTTTCGTGTCTCAACGCCTCACGTCATACCCTCGCACCCACGTATGGTTGTGGAACATGTATCCATACCCAGGAACATTGTCGGTGTGTTTTAATCTGATAAACCGTTGGTATCGGAGGTTGCGCACTCAAAGGGCGGCAGCGAGAAAGAGGCATCGCGAGCACAGGTTTGCTCTATAAGTGCGGCTGTGTAGCGGGGACGAGTAAAGCCCGGCTGAACATGAATGTTTCGGCCTGCGTCTTATGCAGACAATGGCGGCAGTCGAAAGCGCGTCGGGATGATATCGCTCATCATTGCACCACCGTGAATTACACTTCGATGGAGATGATGAACTGAGCTAAGCCGGTGCGGGAAATTGTTGGCGGCGACGACATTGCCGTGGAGTGAAGAGCGCGTTCGTCAAGTGTTCGTCAGCGGTTCTGCGAATGACACATCTGCGGCATATCTGCAATGTACCGTGAAGTTCGTAGTCAGGCAGGAGGGCAGCCATGGGCAAGTTTGACCATAAAAAGGATATAGCACTGTCAGCACATCTCACTACTGTCCATATTCGATAGATACACTTGTGACGGGCCATGCCAAGTAGTCTTTACATCCTGGTAATGAATATGTAGAGCAACGACGAGGAACTGCCGTGATATACAAAATGAAATCGATAAGGGCAGGGTAGATACGATGATGGACGTGTGGACAATAGGTCTCCAACGGCCACTCCACAGGGTCATTTTGTGATGCAGAGAGTCCGGCACGAGCTGGGTCAGAATTGTTGAAGACCAGAGTGACCATTCTTGTTCTGTCACAGACTCGCAAAGTGGCAACGCAGGATTATGTAACTCCAAACCGAACATGAACCAAATAACGCGTAAACAACAACCCTATATGGTTGCGCTATTTTCCTCCTGCTCTTGCTGGCACTCCTCCTCCCTGCCTCAACATCTCTAATTTCTGCGAAACCATATCATCGTGAGTACATCTCTGCACCTGTTCTGGCCCTTAGTGCGTGGTGTATGCGCAGAGTTTGGAAGAGGCGGCCAAGTCGGGGATGTTGGCGGACCCACAGAGGTCAACACAACACCAACAGACTGCCCCGCCTATTTCTCACCCTTACGTGACATCAACTCGTGTTCGTCGCCTGTTCATGGGCTACTGCCATCTCGCGCGCCTTGTTTCCTCCGAGTTCTGTCGAGCTAACATACACTCATTCGCACCCCAGGCGCGGCCTCCTCCGTCCAAGACCTTCGTTCACGAGACATATCAAGCACACAGTAAGTCATCATCACTTTGTGAACCAAACATGTCAGGCATATCAGCACGCAACGTGCTTGATCTGGGTTCCAAATGGTCGAACAATGGGCATTCCAATCCCAAGTTTCCCCCGCTGCTGTGCCTCCGAGCTCCTGGCACAATAGGCTTAGACCCCTGAGCCACATTGCATCTGTCCCGGAGGGACCGTATCACCTTAATCGTCCAGTTTATCATGATCTCTTTGCTCCGGTCTGGGCATATGCTGACGCCACGACTTTGTGTTTGCAGCCGGTCTTCCCAAAGAAGACTATACGCGACAAATCTACGAAATACCGAGCATACGACTGCGCTCCGCGAGATTCAAGATTTGAGATTCGGGCCACAAAGAGTTGTTGATATTCATCCCGGTTCGTCTTGCCACCCATACCTCTTTGGGATGTTGTTCTGACCTCTCTCTGTGCTCTCTCCTTCGCCTCTGCGCATGTGGTCTTTGTACACGAACCTCACGATTGCACGACCTGTATCGATAATACGTCCTTGTTGTACACTATCCCGCACCTTCCACTTTGGCATGGCACCGAACAGACCCATTAAACGCCCGCGCGCGGCCACACAGAGCAACTTCCGCCTCCCACTACCCGCCGCCTTCCTCGTCACGAAGGCCACGAATCGTTTCACGATGCCCCTCTTCATGCGTTCCCAACCATTGAGCGCGTTCCCCAGCCGTAGGGACGAGATCGACGCGTTCCTTTCGTCTGAAGTCGAACTTCAACTGGAGGACTCCTTCGCGTCCAACATGTCCCTCCATTCGCCCCCTCAATCCAGACGCGAGATAGGCCTCCCGTCCGAAGACTCACGCGACTACACTCCGATGGATATCTCCCCGGCTCCCCAACGCGTCCTCGCCACCTCCAAAGTCCAACCATACCGATACGACGAGGACCTAACCGCGCGTCTACCCCCCGCCCCCAAGGTCGTTACAGGCCGGCCACGCTCAAACACCGCCTCGGGTACCCAGAGACTCTTCGGAAAAGATGTCAGCAACAACAGAGATAGCGGGTATGTGGTGGTTAGCAGCAAGAGTAGCGACAAGGACAAGGCCTCTGAGAAGGCCGGGAAGAAGCTTCAGAGGGCAGCGTTGCCCTTTGAGTGGATGCAGAGTGCAGCCCCCGAACCCAGTCTGCGCGATCAGTCTATGCTATCCAGTGCTACGAAGGTATGTCTCGCAGTCTCATACGCGCTCGATCATCGTTCTCAACGTTAATCTCACATTGTCAGCCCATGGACATTTCAACCTCGCCCATCGAACCGATGGACGTGGACATGTCATACGCGTCGATCTCGTCGTCAGCCCCCGAGTCCCCTGCTCCCCTGTCAGCCGCACCTACCATCACCCAGTTCAACGTCAATCCTCGCTACGTTGGTACCCCCGAGTCGCCAGCGGCGCGTGAGCGGTCTCTCAGCAACCTATTTTATGAGTCGGTATCCCCCCGTCGGCGCTCTATTGATGGCACGCGACCACAGTTACACCAGTTCAATGATATTAGCGCTGAGGTTGAAAGCCCTCAACAGCCCCTGCACAAGAAGAAGCGTTCCTATTCTCCTCCCTCCAGTGTGAGGAGACCGCATCACCTCCTGCTGAACGATGATGCGTTATCGTCTTCCCCAGGGCTGATGTCCTCCCCCTCAGTCCTCAAGCTCGAGAGGTTGGCTGCTCGCCCAGTGGCCCGTACTCTTGCTGTCGGAGACCCATTGGGCTTGAACGCCAACAACAAACGTCCTCGCAGGCCTGTTCTGAGCGCCATGGTGACGCCAGGCGACATGGAGAGCATGTTGCACACGGCTCTTCCACAAATGGAGAGTGCGGCTGGCGCGGAAGACCGAGAGAGGGAAAAGGGTCGGGAGGCCGACGTGAAGCTGAGGCCCAGCGAACGCGTCCTGCCTCCTGTCCGCCGCGCATTCTCTGCCATGATCCCCGCCTCGATTAACCCCATGGAGCAGTCGTTCTCGTCTGAGGGGGACTCGGTGTCGATGGATGGCCCCGACATGAGCTCGCCTGCACAGGCGTATGCCAGACGTCAACACGTGAAGACCATCCGTCGCTGCGACGGGACGGACGACTTCAGGAGCATCACTGGTGCTACCGCCTTGCTCAAGCGCGATGGTGAGATGAGGGCACCCAGGAAGAGCCAGGAGAAGGTCGAGAAGCCTGTTGTCACTGAGAGGAACACGCCGAGAAGCAAGTACCTGACTGGCCTGAGCGGGTTCGGAGACAACGAGGCTCATGGAAAGATCTTGCCTTGCCATCGCGTGCGTGAGGACGGCCTGATGAGGATCACTGTGCAGACGGTACGTCACCATCTTATCTCGTCTGTGCCCGATAAGAGTAACAGCTCACTATCTCATCTAGGTCAACGACTTGATCGACGGCAAGTTCGACTCCCAGATCGCTGCGTTCCACGTTATCGACTGCCGGTTCGACTACGAGTACAACGGAGGCCACATCCCTGGAGCTATCAACATCAACACTACCGTCGGCGTCGAGGAGCTCCTGTTGGGCGCTGCTATGCCCAAGCCTAAGCCCTCGATCAGCGGTGACGGTGATAAGAAGACGGTGCTCGTGTTCCACTGCGAATTCAGCTGCAAGAGAGCCCCGACCTTGTAAGCTTTCATCTCCCTCGCGACCGTCTCGTGTCCTGTTTAGTCCAGCGCTAACAACAGCCAATAGCGCAAAGCATCTCCGCTCCAAGGACCGCTCGTTGAACAACCACGTGTACCCTCGTATCCACTATCCCGAGGTGTACATTCTCGAGGGTGGGTACTGCAAGTACTACAAGACTACGGGCGAGCGCTGCGAGCCCCGTGCGTACGTGAGGATGGACGATCCCGTGCACGCCGCCTCGCGTAAGGAGGACCTGGACCAGTTCCGTAAGGGCAAGTTCGGACGCACCAAGTCGTACGCGTACGGCGACGGCAAGAACGGCATGATGGCTCCCGCTGTGCCCAAGCGCAACAGCGCCCCGTCTGGCCAGGTCAGCACCCTGTTCGTCGCCGGGAACGCTGCGAGGACGAGGAGGACCAACGGTCTCCTGCAGACGCTTCAAGAGGACTCGAGTGGCGCTCAACATAGCGAGGACGAAGACACTGACATCGGCGACAGCCCGTGCCCTCCTCCGACTAAAGCTGTAGGCGTCATCTTTAAGGGAAAGAAGATCCCCCGCGCCCCCCTGGCTAGAGCCGAAACGTATGGACCTGCGAGGATGACACTTGGCTATTGAGCTTCAACATCCACCTTACGACCTCAAGTTATAATATCTCTGCCTCCAGTTATGCTCTATGCCTTATGTCTCCTCCAAGTCCTACGTAGAAAAAACAACACCAAGACACCCACGTCATATCGTCAAGACACCCGAAAGCCGAAAGATTCCTGCCTGCTCTGCGCTGAAGGCCACGCTTCAAGTTAACATCTATGTCAAGCCCCTCGTTCTCCGAGGAAACAATACCTTTGCGCTATCAAACATCGCGACCAAGCCTCATCATCTGCCGATGAGCCACCCTCAATTCTCAACACCCGCA